TTTTTTAAAGACACTTAATATTTTTTACAAAATGCATCTAAATATAATTAAAAATACATATTATATTGTAAGCATATTTGGATAATAAAAAATATTAAAGTATATTATATAAAAGTATTATTTATTAATATAATTTTTAAAATATTTTATTTAATATATATATATTTTTTTAGACATTTAAAATGTTTAGATAAATTAAAATGTATAGTTTTTTAAAAAACGTATTCATATTTTAAAAGAAATATACAAGACAAATCTAAATAAAGTCATTTTAAAGTAAATAGTTATCTTTTTTAATTTAAATGTAACATTCGCTGCAAATTGAATTCAATAATGTAACTTGGATTTGCCATTTACTAAACTAATATTAGCATTTCATTTAAATGTGAATGTGTCTAATTTTAAAATTGCATTTATCACAAATGTAAATGTGTGATTATTTGCGATTTAAAAAAATATAATGATATTACTTGAACTGGATGGATGTGTTGAATATGTTAATGAGGATAGCAAAATTATCATTTAGATTAAGTTTACCTTTAAATGCATTACACAGACAATACATTTCAACTTTCCATTGCATAGATATTCTGTGCTTTAAGTATACAAATAAAACAAATATGACGGTTCTCTTTGAAAACATGTTTTTCTGTCAAGCCTGGTACATTGGAAATGTATTTGGGTTGAAGGTCAGTACAAAACAGCTAATAATGACTTTAGCAAACACATTATTTGTGTACTTGTGCCAAGAAAAAAACTGTACAAATTATTACTGTGCTATATTTCTCATAAAAGTGTTAAAACGTTGAGCTTGAAAAGGTCAGTTATAATAAGTGTGGCTATAATGAAGTGCTGATGAAGACTGTTAGAGAAACTTCTGACTAGCATGATAGGATTTCAGAAAGATCAAACCAAAGTTTAAACTATAGAAGAAGGGAAATGTCACAGAATAATAGGGCTGGACGTGGAAAAAAATAATTCTGCATTTTCTCAGAAACTGCATAGAACATCAAAACTACATGCACTGAAGCATTGTGTTTTATAGCATTTATTTAGTTTTTTATTTTTATTAAATGGAATTCCATTTAATTATGAAAAATATTAGTTTATATATTTATTTATTTTTAAGTGAACAGAATTGCATTTTTCAATATTTTTAATCCTTTGCAATAATAGTTGCGATAATAGTAATGAATAAGGTCATGCAAACTGGATAAAAACAAACATTTAAAAATATTATTTTATTAATAATTAGTTTTTTTTTAATTGAGCAGAATTAGATTTTTTTTTCACTGTATTTAAACATTAAAATATAATGAACAGCGTCATGCAAACAGAATAAAAGCAATCATTTAAAAAACATTTATATATATACACACACACACACACACACATATATATATATATATATATATATATATATATATATTATTATTATTTTTTTTTTTAATTAAAGAGAATTGTATTTATGTATTCATTTATTTATTTTATTTTTTATCTTTTGCTTTATTTAACCCTTTGAAATATAATAGTGATGAATAGGGTCATGCAAACTAAAAATAAAACTAAGCTTTTAGTTAATGCTCATGTGTATTACACATTGATCAGAGTTGAACCTTTCAAATAATGTCAAAAAGTTCAATCATTTGATAATGATATCAGTAGTAAGTTATGGCATATTTCCTGACTGTCTGTGGGTTTTACGTTCATTCTAGTTTTCACCTGAAGGATTCGTTCAGCTTAGTAAAGCTTTACACACGTGATCAGGAGCGTGTGTGTGTCTTCATTCTCCTGTTATCCTGGTGTGTGCAGGTACTGTGCAGGGACCATGCCGTGGGGCAACACGGGCGACCACAGAGATTTCGAGCCTCAGAGGCACGATGACGGCTGCATCGAGGTGATCGGCTTCACCATGGCCTCGCTGGTGAGCGCTTCAGCTCTTTCTGTGAGACTGAGAATGAAGTGGAAGGCTCATGACTTACATGTGCTTCCTGTCTTCACCTCAAGGCGGCGCTACAGGTGGGCGGTCATGGCGAGCGGCTGCATCAGTGCAGAGAGGTGGTCCTCACCACCTTCAAGACGCTGCCGGTGCAGGTGGACGGAGAGCCGTGCCGCCTCGCGCCCTCCACCCTCCGCATATCTCTGAGGAACCAGGCCAACATGCTGCAGAAGAGCAAGAGACGCACGTCTGTGCCGCTGCTCAACGAGTGAGTCCCATTTCTGTGCATGTCACAGCTTCTTACACAAGTGCTTCAATCTTGCTTTTCCTGTTTGTTTCATTGATTCATTTTTTAGATTAGAAAAATACGTTTTTTTTGTTGTTTTACTACATGATATTTGGCAACCTGTACTAATCTCGTCCTGTCATTCCAAGGTCAAAATGTAATATTGTTATATATATATATATATATATATGTATATATATATATATATAGTTATAGTTATATTATTTATGTTTTTATGATTTTCTTGTCACAAAAAAGCTCCCCCAGTAGCTAACCACTTTTTGATTTAGCATAAATAAATAATATAAAAATGACAATATACAATAATAATATACTATGTAAATAAATAATAAGCAATAATAGATCAAAAGTTTGGGGTTGGTAAGATATTTTCTTATTTAACAAAAATTTAAAGGCATAAAAATATACAGTTTTGTAAAATATATGATTAAAGTTTCAAATAACTGTCTTCTATCTGAATATAATTTAAAATGTAATTTATTTCTGTGATCAAAGCTGAATTTTCAGCATCATTACTTCAGTCTTCAGTGTCACATGATCATTCAGAAATCATTCTAATATGCCGATTTGCTGCTCAAGAAACATTTGTTATTGTTATTATTATTATTATTATTATTATGTTGAAAGCCATTGTGCTGCTTAATATTTTTGTGGAAACAGTAATACTTTTTTTGTATTTTTTATTTTTATTTTTGTGGAATATACCACACACATTTAATTTAATGCCACCACCACACAAAAAAAAGATCTAAAACCATTTTAATTAAAAAAATTAAACACAAATTTAAGAGGTGTAGGTTTGTGTATAAATTCCATTTTTAATGCTATTTGAATAAGTTACAAAATGCACATCACTTCCAGCTGATCTTTTCCTGAGCGTTTCCCCTCAAACACACACACACACACACACACACAGATGTTAGCGTCTGGACGAGAGTGTGTAACTAACAGTCTAACACTGCGTGTGCTTGACTGGTGAATGTTGTAGTAACAGAACTAATCCACGTGTGCTGGTTCTGCTCTCTGTGGGGTTTTCTTTCTTTGTCTCCATCTCTCTTTCTCCTGCTTAATTACCGGTTGCCCTTCATGTGTCTGTCTGTCTGTCACCTCGGTCTCTGTCTCTGTGCTGACTGGCTTGGCTGTGCTGCCTGTGTTCCTGTGTGGCTGCGCTGACGCAGCATTCAGAAAGTGTGCGCAGCCGACCTGCGCCGCCTCTCTGCTCCCCCCGACTCCTTCTCTGTGTAAGTACGCTATCTCTCAGCACACACACACACAGAGAGGCATGTGTGTATCTGTGAGTCGAGGGCTCTCACTCATGAGTGTTTTGTGTTTTACACTCAGCTCACAGCGCATCTTAAAGTCAACATGAAATTAAAAACGACCTGGTTTATAAGCTTAATGCAGGTTTCTGGTCTTATTGTACACAAATCAGCCAAATTAAGGGTTTGTATTTATAATCAGAATTAATATAATATAAATTTAATATAGAATTTATATTTATATATTTTAATTAAATAACATAATTAAATTGCTAAATTTATATCATTATATATTTATATGTAATTTACACTAAAATAAAATTATATACATATTTTTTACAATTATTGTTATTGTTGATATTTAATTATGATTTTTTTTATTATTATTATATTTACATTTTATAATAATACTTTTTATATAATTATAATATTTGTATTATTTCATTATAAATATATTATTTATTTTGACTAATACTTTAAATGTTTTCATTTTTTTATTAAAAATGTTTAATTAAATCATTAATAATGCTTTTTAATGATTTTTATTTAATTAAAAAAATCATATAAATGTTTTCAATAAAATAAAATATTAAAATAAATTGTATTATTATTATTATCATTATGTATTTATTTATTTTGTCTAAACCAGCATTGTTGACTATATGGACTGCACAGATGGAAAAATAATGCTAATCATTAACCAAATAGCTATTTAAGCACTTTGAATGCTTTTCTAAAATATTTTAGATAGTAAACACAATACATTAATATTGGTTAATGTATTAAAGGTTACAGAAATAATAGTAAATAATGATTAATTTGAATATGTAACTATTCTTTTAAGGGTCAATCATGTTGACTTGAATAAGGATGACAGATTTGGTCTAAACAGACCAAATGACCACAAAAAGCATTTTTATGCATTAATGACTTCAGTCCTTCCTGATCTTCACCTGTCCTTTTGTGAAGCTCATTTTCACTCTTCTTCACGAGCTCCTCGTCATCTGAGATTAATATTGTTTTCACGGTTATTCATTATGAATCAGTACGATCATGAAGTGTTTTCATGTAGTTCCTGTGAGCATTATCAGATAAAACGGAGAGCATGCCTGTTCCACCTCCACCTTTGTTGATTAGGTGTTTCGTTAATGTGGCGTCAGTTCTCAGTTGTCGTCGTCGTTGTTGTTGTAACGCAGCCCTCATGCCGTCCCTGAGCGTCTGCGTCTGCGCGTGAACCGCATCGGCCTGCAGGAGTACGAGAGCATGCAGTTCGACAAGGAGCGTCTGCGTGACATCTGTAAGTCAATCAGAAACCTTCCCACAATGCAGTTCTCATGTTATTATACAGTGCTGCTGTAGGACAGGTGAGTATGATGTGACTGTGTGTGTGTGTGCTTGTTCAGCGACTCCTGTTGGCATCGTGGTGGTGAGAGGAGACTGTGACCTGGAAACCTGTCGACTGTACATTGACAGACTGCAGGAGGTGAGCGCTTCCCATGATGCTCCTGTCAGACTGATTTCATTGAGCACTCAATCAATACGATTACTGACACAACCGCTGGCACTTACGACTGAATTTTGTTTGTCGTCCTGTAGCGTTGAATTATTTCGGGGCCAACATGTAACCTCAAATCTAACCGCAGTTTTGTCGCCATCATGTTATGAATTCATGCACTCACACATCTGTGTCTGGTGTTGACAGGATTTGCATCAGGCGCCCTCTACTGGTCACAGAGTGCACTACCAGGTGAAGGCCTCCACAGCATTGGACAAAATTCAAAACACAAGATGCTGAATTGGAATTCATCGAATTGCAATTCAAAGAAATACAGAGAAGAGATTAATTCATTATTCATAAAAAATAATTATGCCTAAATATTCCCATATATAAGTTCAGTACTGTCAAAATAATTATTACCGGCATCAAAATATATGTTAAGAACCACAGCATGTTCAAATAAATAATAAAAATGAATATTCACATTACAATTTAAATCTATTCATTGTGTAATGATAACTTAATAAAATACATATTTAAAATATTCACACCAGTATTTAAATCTTTCATTTTTGTAATGATAACATCTGTAAAATATTTACACCAGAATGTATATCTATTAATTGTGTAATAAATTACTTAATAAAAGAATTTTTTTTTTAATATTTCCATTTGTAATAATAACATAATATATATCAAAATTGAACATATTCACATCGATTTGAAATATTCATTTTGTAATTATAACGTAATAAAAAAGTAAAATATTCACATCAGAAATTAAATCTTTTCATTTGTAATTATAACACAATTCATATAAAAATGGAAATGATTCACATCAGAGTTTTAAATATTAATTTTGTAATTATAACAATAATAATAAAAAAGAAAATATTCACATCAGAATTTAAATCTGGTGATTTTTGTACCAACTAAAATTTTATTCACATTAAAATTTGAATCTAGTAATTATGTAATATTTTGAGTAAATTATAGCATAGTGTTAAATGAAGTAGTCTTCAGCTGTCAATCAAATATAGTGATTTATAAATCAGTTATACCCCAAAATATGTGTGTTGTATGTTTATGGGTGATTCATATTGAAATTAAAATGTATATGTATTCCATGAAAACAACACGTCAATTTCATTTTATTATAATTCATTTGTACTTTTTTTTAATTCAAATGCTGCGTCCAGTTTGGCACCTCAGTGGAGGAACTGAATTAGAATGGACAGTAAATGTGGTTCTGAATAGTTTTTGCTGTGTTTTGTCAGGATGAGAGCACAGGTCTGCCGCGGGTCAGTTCTGCACACAGACTTTCACCAAACTGGAGCTTCCTAGACTGTGAGTCACTTCATCTGTGCCTTCTCTGTGTCAGTAAATGCTTCCGAATAATTTAACCGCTGACATGTTTATTCCGTTTCCAGCTACATCAGCTGACCGCTTTTATCGCATAGACAAGGCTCAGGTATTATGACCATACAGTATGCCTTATAAAAAATGTAAACGCTAGCAGGAAGCTGCATAATATGCACTTGTGTGTACAAACAGGAGCACCTGCACTTTGTGACCGAAATATGCCAGGATGAGGTTTTCATCCTGGACCACGAGGCCCCAGCGGTGAGCCAGGTCCGGGTCCCAGGAATGCCAGACGTGGTGGTGGAGCCTAGTTCCGGGTGAGACTGTGTTTCTGTTCACTCTTGACAGGTTTATACCTCAATAATTGCATAACAAACAAAGCTGACCTTTTATTTTACTCTGGTTTCCTTATTACAGGGTTGCCCTGACCTCAGACGAACAAGGTAAAGTACAAACGCATATTTCTCTGAAGTGGTGGAGAGATAGGAAACAGGTCTGGACTGTTTAGAAATGGAGCAGGTTTTCTTTAGAGGTTGATGTTTTCTGTCAGAGGCCATGTGATAAACCAAAGTCATCACCACCAGAAATTCCCACATGCATGTCATGCTTTTCTTAGGATACCTCATCGTTACTGATTGTTTTGACAAAATCTCAACCGTTTTCCAGCTCTCTTGTCGGCTGCTGTTAAAGGAGATGTAGAGGCGGTAAGAGTTTTTGCATCTCCTTGTTTTATGAGTTTGAAAGTGAAAGTGTTTCCGAGAAGTGACTTGCACAACTCGTTTGTTTTCTGATTGAAAGCACCAATGCATCGTCACTCATCCGGACTCATGATCTGTCCCGTGTGTCACAGGTGTCGGGCTGCTGTGCCGCCGGGGTCGGTCTGCTGGTGCGGGACTCTACGGGCTGCACCGCTCTGCACCTGGCCGCCCAACACGGCCACACGGAGATCGTGACTTTTATTCTGGAGCACGGTGAGTGAGAGACGAGCCCATAGACACGCACACTCCCGTGTTTGAGTACGCAACGTTCAAAGTTTGCTTGTCACATGCTCAGCTGGGATAGAAGGGAAATTTTTTGTGCGTGAGTTACAATCCAATGTCTAACCAAAAGCAGTTAAGAGTAAATAACTGTTTCTAAATATATAATGGCCCCAAAGGGTATTTTCGAATCAAATCAAATAAAATCAAAGTAAACCTAAAATCCAAACAAATGAAATCAAATATAATGAAATCAAATCCAATTAAATCGGACAAATAAAATCAATGTATTTTATATGATATGCATATATACAAAAATATTTTGTATAGAGTATTTCAGTTTTGTCAATATACAAAATGTCAATATACATTTTTAAATTTCTTAGATGTCCAAATACATTTTGGTGCATAAAATAAAATCAAAATGTATTTTTTTATATGCATGTATGTAAAAATGTATGCTTCTAAATGTCACATTGCATTTTTAATGTCTTAAATGTCCAAATACTTTAGAAATGAACTCTTTACATGTAAATAAATGTAATCATTGATTTTTGTATTATATAATTATTATTGTATTATATACAAAATATTTTTGTATAAAGTATTTTAAGTTTTTAAATGCCAAGTGACATTTTTTAAATGTCCAAATACTTGAGACATAAATTATTATTAAATTAATTTTTTTTATTATTTATTATTACATTTTTATTTACATATCTATCTATCTATCTATCTGCACAAAGCAGCGTCTCAGCAGCATGTGGAGGTGTGCAGACGTCTGCTGGAGGCCGGGGCTTCCCTCAGCAAAACTAACTTCCTAGTGAGAATCTGTTTGTGTTTCCTCTTTGTTTTGACACGTGGTGTGAGACTCGGCAGTCAGCTTGATGTCACATTGTCCTCCTCAGGGAAAAACCCCCAAGGATTGCGCCCTGGACGCCGGGAACTCTGAGTTGGCGTCTCTCATGGAGAGCCAGCCGGTGGAGGAGCCGGAGGCGCACGAGGACCTGGAGACGGCTGTATGAACGGGCTCAGCGATTAGAGTCGGGAAGATTTTTACCCACAGAAAGCGGCTGTCGGCACTCCTCCGAGCGTCCGCTCACACTCGCAGAGAAAGAACGAGAGAGCGTGAGAGAATACAGACGGGGAGAGAGGTGTATCGAGAGCGCCTCGGGCTGAGAGAGTCCTCGGGATCGCGTCTAGCTGTTGTTTTTCCACTGATGTCGCTGTGGGGTTTTAGCATTTATTTATTGCTCTTATTTATTATAACTATTTATTCAAAGATGGATTGGGTTTTGTTGCATCGCAGGTTAGTTTTAGAGACAAAAGATGTTTAAACATGCCAGAGATTGAAGCTGTCATGCATCAATGTTGTGTGCCAAAGACACACAGAGAGGAAGAACATCAACTGAAGAGAGTTCGATTAAAGGAGGATCTTCTTCCAGAGAGTTTTTACGATTGGACAGAATCATCGCGGAGATTTTAAACTCAAACTACAGACTTTTCTCGTTTTGTTTGTGTGCCGTTACAGTGGAGTGATTGTGAAATTATCTTACGACGACGAGAAAAGATCTGAGCCATATTCAATGCAATATGAATGGATGACATTTGTGCATTTATCTATTTAATATTACATTACATTAATGTTTCAAGACAAGCAAAGGAACCGGATGTGTTTTTTTTCCATTGATGGCAGCTGATTGGTTTCTGAAATGCCAAGTTGGTTGCGTTTGACCGAAGAATGACTAAACAAAATGAATGCCGGTGAGAGTTAAGTGTGGTATTTCGAACATATGCTTAGTCCATGTCACATCACTCATGCCGGGAAATGCCCAGCGATGTGTCTGCATGAAAAGCGGATCACGCTGAGCCTTTGTGAGATCCATTTACATACAAGTGATCTGCTGTGTTATCTTGTATCATTTTAAAGCATTATTGTGCATGGATATTTTGTTACCTCTCTGGATGTTTCTACCCCTCAGTGATTATGTAATGAAATGGCATTATTTCTTCTTTTTTTAAAATTTGATTCAAGTTATATGAAAAATATGAAATTGTTCGGTGGTTGTATTTTTATTTTTTTTAATCATTTAAAAGACGGGACTACTTGAATGTTTGAGTTTTTTCTCATTTCTAAATATCTATTTTAGGTGTGTATGAGGTCAGTGAGTGAGTAGACCTGAGGGATATGTGGAGATGTGACAAATATCACCTTGCACCATCTCTAAACTGGGAATGTTTCTCAATAAAGGACAGTCGGATGGAAAGCACCAGTGTTTTGTGTTTTCTGGAGAGTCATAGATCACCCTAAAATTATAGTTCTGCCATTCTTGACTCAGAGTATGGACGTTTACTTTCTTTTTCCCTTTAAATGCAGTAATACAGCATGCAAACCTAAAATGAGCATTTGCGCCTCTTTTACGGTTTACATTCTTATTTAAGGGATTGTTTAGTGTGCGTTCTAAAGTGATTTTTCACCCAAAAATTAAAGTTTGGTGATTTACTGACCCTCATGTTTTTCCAAAGTGAAACACGTGAGGAGCACAAAAAGAAAACGTTTAGCATAACAATGTTCATAATTCCCCATTCCATGCAATAAAAGCATAAGAATGTATTTAAAAGTAGTGACCTTTGTACTAACAGTACCTAACAGAAACAGCTCGTATAAATCATGTCACTTTGCCATTTCGGTGGTTTGAGCAGTTACTTTCAGATGAAAATCAATGCGACGATTCTTCTGAGTCACCGCGTGTAATGAGACATATCATTTTGGCTCCGCCCACAGCGCATAAATCCTGTACTGAACCTTCTGCTGCGTGAGAACGTCGGACATCGAACGCGGAGTCATGTAAGTGGGTCAACTTTCCTTATATTTATTAACCAAGACAAAATGTTAATAGTCACCGTCTCAGACTCTTGTATTTTGTTTCTTCGAGATAATCAGGGAAATTTGGTTCGCACTTCCGTGACTTCGGATAGACGTGTTTATATGTAGAAAATTATGTCGAGAATTTCCAAAACATCAAGTCATGCGCGTGAGTCGTGTCTAAACTTGTGGAGATGTCTGAGACTGAAGACAAAAATGAAACGAGGGTCTCGAGTTTCTAGTGAGCGTTGGTGAACATGCCCAGACACATTCACTCATCATTAACATTCATATACAATCAACTGATCTGTCACTTTCGTCAATAAACGTCCGGATTAAATCACTTCCTTGTCAAATTACGTCAAACTTATTCTGTCAAAATAAATGTAAGTTCAAAGAATATTCAGGGTTGCATACGACTTATATTGCTAGTGCATTAATGCATAAAATACTATCCGTAGGCTAGTTCAAATAAGTCTGACAGATTTAGAGTAATTTAAATAAATATAAGAAGAGGAATTTTAAAGGCTTGCAATGATGTATCCCTTATGCAAAACCACGGTTAATTTTAATTTTTTTGTAGTAAAATAGTTAATTTTCATAAGGGATATTCACGTCTTAATAATGTTCATGCTGCACATTTCATGCCACGAAAGCATATAAAATGTAGTCCATGACTACTTCACTGTATATCTAGTGTACAAACTAATAATGTTTCTAAAATTATGTTAAAATGAATCGGAATACTTATTATTAGTTCAATTAAATTTAAAGTAAACCAGAACATAGTTAAATCAAAAGCTTAACAAATCTAGCGCAGTTTAAATGAAACTTATTTATTGTTAAACGTATATCTTTTCATTTTTTTACACGCATACATACATATATTATTTTCTAACATTCTTAAGCTGTTAAAACATAAATAATATAAATAAACTTTACAAATATGTATTGTGGTTTGATGAAGTGTATTTCATATCTGAGCAGGGATCAGCAGCACAGTAACGGTGATGCCCGGACGTCTGCGGCAGACAGTCTGGAGTTCAAACTCCTCATGGCATACACGCGCAAGAGACGACCCGCCGACACCCTCCTGCAGCAGGACGTCCCGTCTTCACCACAGCCGGCTGACGATCACAGCAAACTGAAGAAAAATAAAAGAAACAAGAGACTGTCTTTCCTCTTAAAGTGTATTAAACCACAGACAGATGAACCAGCACATGTACAGCAGCCAGCGACCCTAGCGGGTGAGTATGAAATATTATATTGATCTGAATGTGTGGCTGCTTTAAAGTCTTTTTTTTTAAAACAGTCCCTATTGTGGAGATTCCAGCATCTGATTTGCTTCCTTCAGGTTCGGATGATGGGAAAGTGGATGAGATGGAGAACATGGTCAGTGAACTGACAGAGATATCAGACTCTGTGCACTTCACTCCATCTGATATAGAACCAGACTCTGATGGTGAGTTTGGGCTCAGTCTTCTCTTTTGAGTTCTGAAGTTTTAGTTGCTTCATTGAGAGAAGAGTGCAAACTGAACTTCACATTTCTGTTCTCTCAGCAGATGTTGTGGAAAAGCTGGTTGAGCTCCTCAGAGAACATGGCGATAAACTGGACAAAAAGGTCAGTGAAATCAAATGAGCACTCATGATGCCATTTAAGCTGAGCTGTAAATCCTGACCACCAGGTGTCTCTGCAAACATAGTTACCTGCACTGTAATATTGTCCAACCTGCTTATTTTACTATATGCTTTTCATTCGCTTTTTTGACAAGAATAACGTCTCGGGTTACTTATGTAACCATGGTTCCCTGAGTAGGGAACGAGACACTGCGTCCTCTAGGTTTCCCCATAGTGACCCCTAGAGGACGCAGTTCGAAGTTCCCATGAAAGGGAACGTCTCGGGTTACTTATGTAACCATGGTTCCCTGAGTAGGGAACGAGACACTGCGTCCTCTAGGGGTCGCTATGGGGAAACCTAGAGGACGCAGTTCGAAGTTCCCATGAAAGGGAACCAGCTGAATCCAAAAGTCTGAGACCACATTAAGAGAAAAAAATGTAAATGAAATTTGTAATGAACTGCACAATAGAACTCTTTTTTTAGTATTTGTAATAGACTTTATGCATTGTATTTTATTCACTTTATACATTCGAACACTCATTAGGTATAATTATTTGAACATTAATTTGATATAAAGTATATATGTGTGTGTGTGTGTGTGTGTATATATATATATATATAGAAAAAAAACGCAACATTGTGAAATATTACAATTTAACATAATGGGTTTCTATTTTAATATACTTTAAAATATAATTTATTTCTGTGATGATTAACAGAAACATGCATGCAGGCAATGTAAGTGTCTCAATCACAGCACACTTTTTCACAACAATGACCTAATAACCCAGAGAAACATTTTTCCCCCTTCACAGGGAGAAGTTGGTGACGAATCCAAAGAGGAAGTCCAGTGAGCAGAAGAGATGCTCTCCACACATTACAAAACTTTCTCAGGGACATGGGCACTTTAAAAAAAAAAAAGAAAAAAATAGTGATTTTTTTTCTTCTTCAGTGAACCAGCAGGGATATAGCTTGTTTTTGTCCCCCACTACATCCTCATAACATCCAAGAGAGAAAAAGAGGTAGTTCAACTTGCCAAACATATGTATGTACACCATACCTCACTGAAAGTGCTACGGTTACTGCCTCGAAACATTACACCAAAGGTACATGTTCTATGAAAACCAGCATTATACATGTTTACATGTTTAGCTCCACTTGTAAACTATTTTTGTAAATGAATGAGATGGCTACATTGTTATTGTTATTTGGCCTTTGGTTAAAACTGTATTTTGTTTTGAAATTAACATTTATTTTCTTTATCACTGATTGTTATAGAGATTATTTAAAATAATATAAAAAGTCTTATTAATGTATTTAGACTTTAATGTTATAACATTAAAATAACTGTGAACATTTCAGTAATTTTGTCTGTATTTTCTTTCTTTTTTTCTTAACTACTACTGTATGATAGAAGTATGTGGACCCACTTCTAATTAACAGGCTTCCAGCATAAATCTAACTACTGCAGAAATGACTGGAATAGACATATATGTTAATTAGAAGAGGATGTTTGCATAGTTTTGGCCATATAGTGTATTAATTTGATCAATTAATGGTCATCGATTAATCTGGTTTAAATCTACAATCATTTCTAGTCATCATTTTTTAATCATTTCTAGTAGAATCAAGATACTATTATCATTTTTAATAATAGTAATATATATATACACTTCCGGTCAAAAATGTGGGATCTGTACGATTTTTTATATTTTTTAAATAAGTTTCTTATGCTCATCAAGGCTGGATTTATTTGATCAAAAATACAGAAAAAAAACGCAATATTGTGAAATATTACAATTTAACATAATGGGTTTCTATTTTAATATACTTTAAAATATCATTTATTTCTGTGATGCAAAGCTGAATTTCCATCAGTCATTACTCCAGCATAAAGTGTCACATGATCCTTAAGAAATCATTCTAATAAGCTGATTTATTATCAGAATTATCAATGTTGGCAACAGTTGTGCTGCCAAATATTTTTTGGGAAACTGCGATACTTTTGTCAGGATTCTTTGATGAATAAAAAGTTAAAAAGAACAGCATTTATTCAAAATATAAATCTTTTCTAACAATATAAATCTTTGCTATCTCTTCTTATCAGTTTAACACATCCTTGCTGAATAAAAGTTTTTATTTCTTTCAAAAAAAGAGAATAAAAATGTACTGACCCCAAACTTTTGAGCGGTATATTTCTATTTTAAATAAATGCTCTTCTTTTTAAACTTTTTATTCATCAAAGAATCCTAAAAAAAGTATCACAGTTTCCAGAAAAATATGAAGCAGCACAACGGTTTCCAGCACTGATAATAAATCAGCATATGATAATGATTTCTGAAGGATCATGTGACACTCATGATGATCATGATGCTGAAAATTCTGCTTTGCATCACAGGAATAAATTACATTTTAATGTATATTAAAATAGAAATTTTTTATTTTACATCGTAATAATATTTCACAATATTAATATTATTTTCTAATATATATTTGTATTATTTTTTCC